TTTTACATATGATATATATATATATATATATAATTTTCAGATGCTAACTGAGCTCATATTGTGTAAATATGGATGAATGTTAAAGGGACTATATGTATTTATCTCGTTCTACTATCACTGTATCTCAACATGCATACAAGTAAATGTGACTTTGATGACTTTCAAAGATCATATGTCAACTCAGTCCTCAAGCAATCCATGTGATCAGTGAGTTTATTTGAACGAAATAAAAATTCAATGAGCCGCTTAAAATTGATTTAGCATGTATAGACTCATTTAAAAGAGATAAAATAAGTTATTTATTTAAAAATTATTGAAGATGTTCTTGGTAAAGTATGAGAAGATAAATGCTAACAAGTAACAACATATTTTATAACATATGAAAATTGATCATCTTATATGAGATTTTCACTTAAATTCTCTTATGTGAAATCTCCACCATCAAAATTTTATACTTTCTATTTTTGTTATTCAAATCTTTTTATTTCTAATCAAGAGTTGAGAATTTATTAGACAGAAATATTGAGAATTTATTAGACAGAAATATTTTATGAGAGAATCTAAATCTTCCAACACATTCTTTTGAATACACATGCTATTATAAATTTTGGTTGATTTCACTTTACATTAATGAGTTTCTTCCTTGTTACTGATGTATGTCTTTGTAGATTACGTGGTCGTTTAAATTTGATTAGTAGAAGCTAAATTTATGGATTAAAAAGTGCCTTATGAAAAAACTTATGTACAAACAAAAATCCGTTGTCGTCCAGCGGTTAGGATATCTGGCTTTCACCCAGGGGACCCGGGTTCGATTCCCGGCAACGGAATTTTTTAAGTTTATTTCACTTTTTGTTCTCTTCTTCTGGTCTGAGTGATTCTTTTCCCTTGTGATTGGGTTGTGCATAGATTGGGTTCATGTTTATATTCAAACTTATCCATATGATTTGTATTAAGTTTTATAAGATTGGACTAGATAACCCAATGTTAATTTGTCTCAGTTGTTGTGGTCAAATTGCATGTTACTTTCTTTATTTCGTCACTATAACATAAATAGGCTTTAATGTATAAATGTTACTAATTTGCTTTAACAACTTATTATCAAATGTTGTATATAGTCCATGTTGTTAAAGACTTTTAATAATATTTTTATATAAATAGGTAATATTTTTCAAATGTTAGCAAAACAGTGTTTTTGTAACATTTTAATGATGTTGCTAATATTTTGTTAATTTATAAAATAATAACTAATTTTAATTTAGATATATTACTATCAATTATTATATTTTTATACCTCTTAAACTCCTAGAAATTCTTAGTTATTTTTTAGGAGAAGACATTCTTAATTAGTTATATGGTTATATATACTCTTTATGAGTTATCAATTTATTCAATGTGAGACTTTAATTATGGATAAAAATTAGAGATAAGAAAAATATATTTTTTTTACTTGATGTGGGACTTTGATTTTTATAGTAACATTTTTCAAAAAAATGTTACAAAATAACTTATGTAAATTTTTTTTACTCGATATGAGACTTTGATTTTGAAATAATTAAAAAGAATAATATTAAAATAAAAACATTACTCTATCTATAATGACATTTTTTAAAAAAATATTATAAAATAATATATTTTTTTAATATTACAAATGTAAACAATAAAATGTTGATAAAGAATTAAAATCTAGTAGTAGGCGTCTCCTTTTCATAATCTACTGAGCTCTGATGTTACCCATTTTCATTATGTTAAAACTTAAAACAACCTTAAAAGGTGCCATACATAAAGTCTGTTAGCTTTAGTGTATCGATAAATTGATTAAAAATAAACAAATTCAAATTGTAAAACATCCTTGAGAAAAAAAAATTAAGAAATATATATATAACCATGTATAACTACAAACTATGAAATATTTATTGAATTTCGTTGATAAATAATTTTTGTCGAAAATTTGACTAATACTTTTAGTGGAATGTTTTCTTTTAATTATATATATATTTTTGTTACTCATAAAATTTAAACCCAAATCTATATTTTAAAATAACTAAATTCAGTATCACTTGTCAAATTAAGTATAACTCAGATTTTGAAAATTTTAAACATAACTAAAACTTGAAACAAAAGATTAAAACTTACCAGTATATATTTAGGTTGTATGGGGAGTTAAAATATCTAGATAAGGTGATTACAAACACAAAAACTCATAAAACCTGAGTAAAAAAAATTGAAAATCGTAAAAAATGATTTATCATTATTAAAATACATTTTTGGGCCAATTACGAAGAAAATATATTTGGGCGTAAATTTATTTAAACATGTATAATTTTCTTCTTATAAAATTAACTTCTCACACAGACTTATATAATTATATATTTATGAAATTACACTACTTGATCATTTTTCATCATTCTATCATCAAAATAACAAAATTACATCTTATTATTATTTTTTAGGGAACATTTATTTGTTTTAATATGTTTATTAGTATTTTATTGGATAACTTACACTTTTAGTCTCTTTATTTTTATTAATCTTAAATTTTAGTCTCTTTATTTTAAAATAGAACATTTAGTCCTTCTAATTTAAAAAATATGACATTTTAATTTTTTTTCATTAAATTAACATCTATTAATAGTTAAATTTTAATATTTATGTATATTTAAGTGATGTAACATTTAATAATATATCCTTTTATGAAAATAAGATTTTTATCAATAAAATAAATATTAATCACTCATAAAAATAAACATAAATAATAATCTCTTGTATGCTATTTTTTAATTTTTATCTTTATATATTATGTTATTAAATATCACGTCACTTAAGTTGTAATAAATTATCAAAATTTAATAATTAACTAATGTCAAGTGGATAATAGAGTTAAAGTTTTGTATTTTATAAAACAAGGGGGCTAAATATCATTATTTTAAAATAAAAAAAATCAAAATCACAATTTAATCTTTTTTATTCATTTAAAACTATTGTTCTGTCTCGTTTTTCTTTATTATATATTTTTTTCCCTTTTATATACAAAAGTTAATTTTTACGTAAGATTGTAAAAGATATCAGAAAACATTATTCATTTACCTCCTTTAACTAAATTAAAAGAAAAAAATATAATTGGATTCGATTGCATTAAATTTAATATTACATTCAAACCAATTCTTAACCATGTGCTAAATTTATTTATTATTTTTACAACGATATAATGTGCTTGAGTATAAGTTCACTTTAATGTAACACACGTTAAGTTCAAAATATCTTATTATTTTTACATTTTATGTATTGAAAAGTTGAAACAAGTGTTTGAAAATTGAAACGGATAACTAAACATACTTATAATAGGTAAGATGAAACCACTTTTTTTTTTTAATAAAAAAAACATTTAGCACTTATAAATTGTTTTAAATAGTTTCATATTATAATAATAATAATAATAATAATAATCCTAACTAAATGTCACATTGTTATTATATGAATCTATTCAACGAGGAAGAAAACGATCACATTATCTTTGTAAGTCACATTATTAGATGATTATTGGCATTATGTTATAATGATTTGAAATAAAAATATATAAACATCAGATTAAAAATAAATGTTTTTTTTTAATAATTTAGCTAACTACTTTTAATATTATATTTCGTAACTTAAAAAGAAAAAATTATGGTAAAGACGTTACTGATGTATGTCCTTGCAGTTGCAGATCAGATGGTCACATAAATTTGGCTTACTAGTTATAAATAAAAAAAACGCAGTGCTATCAGAAATCCGTTGTCGTCCAGCGGTTAGGATATCTGGCTTTCACCCAGGAGACCCGGGTTTGATTCCCGGCAACGGAAATTTTTTACTTCATTCTATATTAGGTTGTTCTAAAAATCTACCAACTTCTGATCTACTGATTCTGATGTTACCCATGTTCATTCTGCCCAAAAGGTTTCATACATAAAAACTTTTAGTTTTTTTTTTTTTTAAAATATATTTGGACATGACCTATACAATGTCTCAAAAATTGATAATTAATAATTATTTTGTAATTAAATTTTTAGCCTTTAGTTTATTGATAAATTGATTAAAAATAAATCAATTCAAATTGTAAAACATCCTTGAGTTAAAGCAAGAAACTTGTAGTTAAGTTCTGAACCATATGTAAAAGAGATAATAAAATAAGATTTATTTACCTCCTTTAACTAAATTAAAAACAAAGATATAATAGGAATTGAATTTGATATTGTATTCAAATCAATCCAAATTCAACCATGTATTTTTTTTTTTCACATCAAAATTATTCTAAAATGGACTGTGAACTAACTGAACAAACTTAAAACCTATGGAGGATATTTTAGCTATTCATCCAACTGTTTAGTTATTCTTCTTTATTACAGGTCTCTGTATTTGTTTCCTGACTATTGAAATATTTCTCGTACATAGTAGACAGTAGACACAGATCAATAATAGTTTGTGAATATAGTTTTCTTGTCAGGTCTCTGGATCATTATAAATATCATCGATTTATGACTTTTATGTGCATGCTAAGGGGATGATCATTGATGATGAGTATGTTATACTGGGATCTGCTAATAATGTAAACAAAAGATCGATGGCTGGTTGGTACCAAAAATCATGTGGTCAGGTTTGTTTGCATAAGCTTTAGTTGTTGCAGCAGTTTTTTCTAATTATAAATATCTTTTGGTTCAGCCTCAAGTGACATGTGAGTTTACAACCTGAGCACACGAATGAGTTGGAAATCACATATGGTATCCAAAATTACTACACTTTACATAGGCTGATAGGCATATCAAATTATTGGATGATTTTAGATGAAACTTTTGAGGAACTGTGAGATTGAATTGAACTGTGAGCATGAAGTGAATGGAATTGCAGAATATTCGCTTCTGAAGATTTCTCTCACATCAACAATAGTTTTTTTTTTTTTTTTTTATATATATAAAAAATACCAAGGTTTAGAAGTTTGATGAGAATGAAGTTCTTAAGCCTCAGGAGGAATGGACATGGTGTTGGATATTATGCAATTCCTTATCAAATAAATATTCGGGGATGGATGATCATAATTCAAAACAATTTGCTAATAATCAGATTCATAAGCCTTGCATCAACAAAAACTTGAAAAAGCAAGGCTCTGGTTGTAGAAAACTATATAGATTCATTCACTTGGTGAATTTGAGATCATTACATACCAGCTACATGGAAAGAAGAAAACCATATTAACATTTCTTCAGTGAACATTTCTGCACGATGAGACTTCTCCTCTGCTCCCATTGAGAAACGGCACAGTGGACACGTTTTGTGGTGACCCTTAAGCCATCTATTTACACAAATCTTATGGAACTTGTGAGAGCAAGGAAGCACACGGATTTCATCTTTGGCCTTTAGCCTCGACAAGCACACACAACACCAACAATCCTCACTATTATTCTCCACAAAATTGGATGATTCTGCTGCAGATTCAGATGATTGCTGCTTCTTGTTTTGTGGCAGCATGTAAGGTAAAGGGACGTCATTATTGTTCCTTGGTTCCTCTGCTAGACCAATTAAATTGATGACAATTGATACAAAGCCTTTGAGACTCATCTCATTCAGTGCTAGGAAACCATGTCTTTTAGAGCCTTAATAAGAAATAGAGTTGCAACAATTGGTGACACTGTCACAATTATAGTTCTCATTTAGTCATAGTTTTGCTTGGTTTGAAAGGGTGGTTAGATGAGGTTTGTGTGTGACAGTTTCTAGCGTCCAAACACACAAGCGGTTACACCAACATAGGAGTGTTACACTTGACCTAGATATATACCTCATCAGTCATTTTTTTGAGGGAGAATAATGCTATAATCTACCAGATTCCTATCGCCATGTACCACCTAGTGCCATGTACTATGTGATTTTTTAACATGATATTTCTTATTCTTCATTGTTTTTTACGTCCTTTATTATTATTTTTCCCGTTAATTTAGTTGCTCTTTTCATCAAGTAGGGATGGCGTTAGAGGAAGGCATCATTAGCTTGTCAACCTCAGTTGAAATATTAAGGTATTTTGATACCCCTAACCCTTAGGGTACTCTTGCTCAAAATTTTCACCAAATCTTATACCGGTCTTAATCAATGAAAAATTGTATACTCTTCATCATGCTTACCTTTACCAATTAATAATATTCACAATTCATTGCAATTTGCAAATGTGAGGTTTCTACTGTGAGCTTTACATATTATGTTATTTTTGAATATTTGGAAAGGAGTGAATGAGAAGAAAGAAGTTAAAAGAGAGTGGAAACTAAATAGACATTTTTTGTGGTTTGGTGGCATGAAAATGGAATGGAAAATGGATAAATTGACACCCACACAAAAATTGTTTCCCCTCATTATGACTGGGATGAACCGGAAATTTTCTCTTTTTATTTTTATTTGTTATGACTATGTTAAAAATTTAGATCTATCTTTTTATTTTTTTTTAATTTCTTAAAAAATAAATATTAGTTTTTTATAGTGTTTTTTTATTCATCCGAACAATTCATATTTTCATATTATTTGTCCTCCTATTATGTTTTAAATTATTTGGCAAATAACTCACAAACATCATTAATTAGATCTGTAAATGTATATCATTAAATACGGATAATGAACCATTAAGTTCTACCAACTTATAAAGGTTAAAATAGTATATCCAAGTTTTAGATTTGAAGCATATTATTGTTATTGTAATTCTTAAAAGGAAAAAAAATTTAGGGATAATAAAGAGATTTTCATATAATATTTTTTGTAAGTTTAAGATGTTTTAGCAAAGATGCACAGGTCCTTTTAGAAAAATAAAGACGCACGAGTGTATTTTTTTTCTTTAATTTATGTAATTTTAAAAAATATTGTTTAATTTAGTCTTAGAGACCACCAATTACATAATTGACAATGATAAATTAAGACATCGACTAAATTAACATGATATTTTTATTAATAATAACACTAATATGTAAATTATGTATGATAATATTTAATAGATTCTCTAATGAAATTTGGACATAGAAATTAAAATAATTTTTTAAAATTACAAGATTAAAAAGATCAATTTTAAGTTTAAGTGAAAAAAATAAATTTATCTCATTTTTATCTATTTACAATAAAAGAAAGTTTTATATCATTGTAACTTCTCTATATTTACTTTTCTTTCTCTCATTTTTATTATTTATATGCATTTAATTTATAATAGTATAAAAAAATTTAATGGCAAAATATGAAAAAATATTATTAATACAAATAAATAAGTACATACCTTATTTTTATAATTTTTTTATCCAAACAAGATTTATTATCTTAAAATTACTTTTCAACAAATCTATTTAAACAAAAATTGATTATAACTATAATCAATTATAACAATAATTGATTATTTATATAATTAATTATTTTAATAATGTAATTTATACATATTTACCGAACCGCTAAGTAATAAATTTTTATTTCACTCAAACATCCAATAGGGTGACAATAAGTCACAAGTTTTCAACGACTAAAGGGTCAAATTGTGGTGTGCAAGGCAAGGTCTAGTATTTTATTTGGCAATAATTCACAACTACATGAAAGTTTCTATTCTAGATAGTCAAAAGGTAGTTCATGAGGATTCCCAGTTTTATTTAGATCATTACTAAAAAAACTTCTATGATGTTTGTGATTATCAATTATCATGTATCGTCAACGTCCTCCCTTTGAAATGAGACCTACTATAATATATTATAATATATTGATTATCACTCTATACCATAAAATATTTCATATTTTTTTATATTTATATTTATTGTTTCCTTCATTACATAAATCTGGACCTAATAATTATTGTAATTATCTTTACTAAAATATGTGTAAAAAATATATTGAATGTATAATATATAAGAAAGTATATATATAAATTCTTTGATGTTGGATCTATTGATAGTCTCTATAAAGGATACCAACATGTCCAACATAAAAGAATTTATATACATATTTTATACCATATTACATATTCTATATAGTTTTGACATAGACACCTATAAAAAAAAATTATAATGATTACAAACAAGATTCATATAGTGAAGAAAACATTAATTATAAATATGAAAAAATCATTAAATATTATATAATTTAGGATAATAGTCAATATCTCAAATAAAATCTCATATCATACAAACACTTAGTTTATACTTTATATGTATCATATAATTATAATATATGACAATATGATTTTTTTAATGATGACAATAAAACTGAAGATCATCAAGATTTGCTTTTGGAGAACAATGCTTTTGGTTGAAAATTTTTACAAGAAACATGCATCAATTCAAGTTATTGATGTTAAATTGAAGAAAAATAAAAAACCAAGAGGACGGAGAGAATAAAGAGTAATTATTATTAATAATTAGCCAAACAAATTTAAGGATGGAGTAAAAAGAAAGAAGAAAGTATGATTACTCTATATCATACAATATTCCATTGTTTATAGTATATTGATTATTAATCTATACCATAAAATATCTCATCATTTTTTCTATATTTATAGTCATTGTTTCCTTCACTACATAAATCTAAACACAATAATCACTCCAACTATCCTTATAAGTGTATGTGTCAAAAAAAAAATATTGAATGCATAATATGTAAGAAAACATATATATAAACTCTTTGATGTTGAGCCTGTTGATATTCTCTATATAAGATATCAACAGGTCCAACCAACATAAAAGAATTGACATATATGCTTTGTAACATATCACATATTCAATATAGTTTTCATATGGACACTTGTAAAGATAGTCATAATGATTACGGTTAAGATTCATGTAGCGATGGAAGCATTAATTATAAATATGAAAAATTATTAAATATTCTATGATTTAGGACAATAGTTAATATCTCAAATAAAGTCTCATGTCATATAAACACTTAGTTTATACTTTGTATGTATCATATAACTATAATATATCGCAAGAAGGTTTTTTTAATGATGACAATGAAACTGAAAATAATCAAGTTTTGCTATCAAAGAACAATGCTTTTGCTTGAAAATTTTTACCGAAAACATGCATCAATTCAAATTATTGACGTTAAATTGAGGAGAAATCGAAAATCAAGATGACGGAGAAAATAAAAGATATAATTATTATTAATAATTAGCCAAACAAATTTAAAGATGGGGTAAAAGAAAGAAGAAAGTATTACTCTATATCATACAATATCCCATCATTTATAGTATATTGATTATTAATCTATACCATAAAATATCTCATCATTTTTTCTATATTTATAATCATTGTTTCCTTCACTACATAAATCTAGACATAATAATCACTCTAACTATCCTTACAAGTGTATGTGTCAAAAATATATTGAATGCATAATATGTAAGAAAGCATATATATAAATTCTTTGATGTTGGGCCGGTTGATATTCTTTATACAGTATAGCAACAGGTCAAACATAAAAGAATTGACATATATACTTTATAACATATCACATATTAAATATAATTTTAACATGAACACCCGTAAAGATAGTTATAACGATTACAATCAAGATTCATGTAGTAAAGAAAGCATTAATTATAAATATATAAAAAATTATTAAATATCCTATGATTTAGGGTAATAATCAATATCTCAAATAAAGTCTCATATCATATAAACACTTAATTTATACTTTATATGTATCATATAACTATAATATATAGCAAGAAGTTTTTTTTTTAACGATGACAATGAAATTGAAAATCATCAATATTTACTTTCAGAGAACAATGCTTTTGCTTGAAAAATTTTATCGAAAACATGCATCAATTCAAGTTATTGATGTTAAATTGAGAAAAAATCAAAAATCAAGAGGATGGAGAAAATAAAAGACGTAATTATTATTAATAATTAACCAAATGAATTTAATTACGGAATTAAAAGCAAGAAAGAAAGTATTATTTTCAGCGATAACAATAATTGAAATTAAGCAGAAAAACGAACCTACAATGTTGAAGGAGAAAAGAGGAGGTGGAGAAAGGAGGGAGTTCCCTCTGTTTATAAAGGGTTAGGTTGGCACTTGGTTGGTTTTTTTTAACAAAATATCTAATTTTGATTTTCCGTTTTCAGTTTTAAAATTGATCGTGTATTTGTAATCTATTCAAATGTTAGTTATTACGGTTAATATTTTTCTTCCTGTACAAAAATCAAAATTTAGGTATTTAAAAATATAAAAATTAAATTTAGAAACTTTTAAAACAGTACAATTCAACTTAATATTATACTGTTATCCTACAAAAATAAGGTTTAATATTTTTTTTATTTTAATCTTTTACTTTTTATTTGCCTTTTTATTTTTATTTTTCTAAAAGTGTCTCGTTGTTATTATTTTAACCACTTTTTAAAAGTTCATATACCTTTTTTTATCATTTAATCTCTTTCTATTTTTTTATCTTCTTTTTTCTATGATTAGTTTTTACCTTTTTTTCATTCCTTTTTAATATATATTTTTTTCAAATACTTTATGGAGCATCCATCCTCTTTTCTATCTTTTTGCTTTACTTAAATGTTTCTGTCATTGTGTGATAGAAACTTTTGTATATCTAGAAAATAAATATTCATGCTAGTTATGGATATGATTGTAACTATTTGATAATATTTGTATTTTAATTAGTTACATTTATATTACCTTGTTGGAGTGGTTAAAATAATTATTATAGTCATTTTTTTCTATCTTTTTAGGATTTATGTTTATTTTGATAAATTACATGAAAATTTTATGAAAGATTATGAATATATTTCTATTTTAAAATTTTAAACTGTGTTTATTATTTTGGTAAGTTACTATGATAATTTAAACTTGGTTCTTAGAGTGGAATACCTCCTAATAGTTGCCAAAATTACAAGGTTACTTTATTAACAGTTTGTCTTTATCAGATAAATACAATATATATCAAGAAGGTTTATTAACTCAAAATAAATAATCAATATAATATTATATCATTTTAAATAAAATTATTATTTATTAACTCAAAATGTAGTAGTTAATATCTCAAATTAAGTCTCGTATCATATAAACACTTTTTTTTTGTCATATAAATACAATATATACTAAGAAGGTTTTTCTAGTGATGATAACAAAACTAGAAATCACCAATATTTGCTTTCGGAAATCAATGCTTTTGCTTGAATTTTTTTTAGAATACATGCATCAATTCAAGTTATGTTAAATTGAGTTAAAATCGAAAATCGAGACGATAGAGAATAAAATACATTACCATTAACCAAACAAATTAAAGTGTGATGTAAAAAGAAAGAAGAAAGTATTATTTTTAGCAATAACAATGACAAAAAAAATTATGCAGATAAATCATAAACTAACCTAGAACGCTGAAGGAGAGAGAGGAGAAGAGGTATGGAGGGTGGGAGATTCACTTTGTTTATAGAGGGTTAGGATTGGCACTTGGCAGTGGTTTTAGTTTTACAAAATTTCTAAATTTTGTTTTCAATTTCAATTTTAAAAAATAATAGATTGTGTTATTGTATATTATTCAAATTTTAGTTAGAACGGCTAATATTTTCTTCCGGTGAAAAAATCAAATTTTAGTTATTTTAAAAAATATAAAATTAAAATTAGAAACTTTATGAGATAAAAAATATCATAACTCTTTTGAAAAAAATCTTATATGGGACATCGACAACTAGAAGAAAACAAACATGAGAGGTCCAGCGTCCATGACAACAATGGCTTTATGACTTCCCCAAACTCAGTCAGAGAGACCCTTTAATGACTTTGATAGTGGTGTTATTAACCATGTGATAATGGTACTTTGATAGTGGTGCTATTAACCATGTGATCCCAATCAATTCCAATAGATTTTTAAACATGATGGTAACTTACAATTTGAAATGATGAGAAACTTAAAATTCTTGCTAATGGTTTTTAGCAAAAATTATAAGGAATGCTGCCAAGTAGCAAGAGACAAGTCAAGCAACTAAACCTCATTGAGACAGACCATTCCATTCAAGTTTAAGAAAAGTTATCTTCCACGTATATTAATCCTCTTCTATTATTTTCTAATTGCCTTGGTATATGTATGTATGAATGACCACCTACATAACTGATTGACGAAAAAAAAGAGTTGAAAGCACTCACATTTGCCTTGCCTCATATCAGATAACTTAGCTTGATTGACATTTGTAAACCAGTAATATGGATCAAGGTTCAAAACCTCTTTCTTCAAAGCTATTGATATTATACATTTCTATGGGTCTTATTAAGTAAATTTCTCAAAAAAAAACTTAAAGAAAAGAAAAATGAGAAAGAAAAATAAAATAAATTTTTCTATAAACTAAAATTAGTTAATGCATAAATTAATTTGTAAAAGTTTTATTTTTTCTTTACCGAGTTGTGTATCACTACTAAATTTCACAAGAGTGATAATAAAACTTGAATCATGCAGTTAGAGAGAAAACACTCGGAGATACAAAATAACTATCAAAAAATGGAAGGGAAGGGGAAAATTTAAAAATTTATTTGTTGAAAAAAAAAATTTCGTTGAAGGAAAAAAGAAAAATACATGTTTCTTCCCCCAAAGTGTAAACAGAGTAACTTCTTACTCGCACAACATTCCACCAAGCACCAACAGCAGGCTCACATACAGTTGATCATCATGAATACTAACATAGAAAGAGCAACATGCCTGAGAGATTGAAATCCAAACATCACAAATCTTACAGCTCATGTTAGACACTTCTTTCTTGATTCTCTTCATTTACTGCAGACAAATTGGTATCATTATCTGATTTTGATGCATCTTCTTCCTCAAGTATCTTCCCATCTCTTGGAACCAAGCATGGGATCCCATTTTTTATCTAATAGGTAATAAGAAAAAAGAATCAAACACAGAAAGTCAGAAATCATGAAATTATGCTTTATTTGTAGGTTTATGCTTGCTAATGATCAGTGATATCATCAGCCCATGTATATAATTATTATTGGACAAACAAGTCTTGGAAACTATTTGGATAGAAACTTATAAGAGCTTTTCTCCACAGAAAATAATGAGTTTCTTCTCTTTTTTTTCTTTTTTTTTTTTCAATTGAGAAGTTCTTAACAGCTCTTCTAAGCCTCTATCCAACCAAACTTTTGGTGCTAAAGGGAGGAGAGGGGTAATTTTTCCCTATAATAAACATTTCAATACAAACATTTTATAATTCTTCACAATTCAAAAAAAAAAAAAAAAAAACCCTTCCATGGTGAAATGTACAGAGAAAACATAAATGGTGGAAAATAGGGTTTATGCAGTTACACTTGCAGATACCATTAGAATTTCAGAAACTAAACAACATTTTTAGCAAACAAAAAAAAACGTAATCTTACGATTCCCGAAAGATACAAAGGAAAGGATAATTGTCAATCGGTAATTGAAACTGAAAATTGAAACTTTTTGCAAAAATTGAAAGGAAGCAGAAGAGAGATAGAACCGACAGGAAAGGAAACGCCAATAGCATCACTGATTAGGGAACTCGATTCCTCACAATACCTACACGAAAGAGAGATGATTCAAGTTAGGGAACAAACGCTGAAATTATTCTTTGCAGTGAAAAAATAAAAAAATAATATTAATAATGAAATTGAGAAGGAAGACCTCAAAGGTTGCTTAGAGAGAGGGCAAACGAGGATGTCGGATAGGGTTTTGGCAGCATTTTGCAGAACCTCTTTGCTTACTCTCACCATTTCCTTTCGATCCCAGTGCTGTTCTGAAGGGGTTCACCGGTAGAACTCTATAATGTCTTCTATTTTTTCTTTAACTAATTCGTAGACCGTACAATTATGAATATATTAATTAATATAAATTTATTAAAAATATATAAATTAAATTTTAATTTTACAATAAGTTATCATGAATAAATTAAAGATAATTTAAAAATTGAAATAAAAAAGATGAATCTACTTTTGAAACACATGCAAAATATATAAATTTAATCAAATAAATTATTAAGAAAGGAAATTCTTTTAAAAAAAATAGTTTTATGTCTCATTATACCCCCCTTTTAAGTTGTGTTTTAATTATAGTACAAATAATAGGTTCATTTTTTTTTTTAAAGATAGGAAATATTATAAAGATGGCCGCATTGAGGATTGAACCAAGGTTCTCATATTTTTAACTACCTCGATCCCTCCCCTCCCAATCACTAGGCTAATCCTAGTGGTTAATAGGTTCACTTCTATTATTAACTATCAATTATTTATAAATAAATAGCTAATAATCATAATTCAAATTCAAGGGAAAGTAACACTACAATAAAAGAGGGGCATAAAATGTAATTATATAGAATTCAATAAAGTTCTCAAATTGCACTTTTTAAAGCGAAAATCAAATTATTACCACCACACTTATCTTTCATCTTATACATGTCCTCCGACGAAACATCATTTAATATAAAAAGTGTGAATTCTTGGACTATCCTTGTTATCCTCAATGGCTAAGGACCTGCAACAAATAATATTTATTATGCATAGGCAACACAACAAACAACCCTTTCCAATATAAAAAGTTTCAAATCTCAAATATTTTTCATTTCTTCAATTACATTCTCAATAGTATCCTAACATCCTTATGTTCATCCCACTACCCATAACCACTAATATTATACACACGTACACACAAAATCAAATTGTAAAAGTATTTTGATAACCTCAAATGTGATCTTTGATCATTCAATCGATAAAAACTCAATAATTTAATCAAATAAATTATAACCTCAGATTCAATAGCAAAAGCAAACCTAAAAAATCTTTACAATAATAATAATGAAATACATTTTCACATAGCAAAATGATTTACATTGTCATCTTCCATGCCTTTCACCATTTGTTATTTTCTCCATCCTCTACAACTTATGATCCCACTCACAAATAAGAAATCACCTTCCATTAGCCTTTGTAGTTTAAGCAATGACAACTACAAATGGTTGAAGTCAATGGTATCTCATATTCTTTTCTTATTTAAGATAAACTTGTGTTCAAATGATATACGATGAAATACACATGAAAATCTAAAGCAATATAAATAGTTTGAGTGAAAATGAAGAGAAGATTAAACGGAGGTAATTCTTGTTTGTTCATAGTTGGAAAATATACATAATTTGATTGGAAAGAGAAAAATGTGAATGGGCAAGAAGTTTGGGAGTTAAAGATGAAGAATGTCAATAATTTTTTTTATATAATTGGGTGCTTCATTGGAAACATGAACAAATACGAACATGAATAAGTGAGTTAAATGCATATCGAGAACATTAATGCATGCAAATAATTTTAATGGGTGTAAGTTAAATTTATATTTCAAATTCAATTAATAACATACAACTATTAAGATAACAAATTATTGAATGAGAAACGATCAAGAAGAAGTTGGAGAATTTTTTTAATTGGGTGTTTCATTGGGAACATGGACAGATGTAGAATGTGAATGAATGAGTTAAATGCATATCAAGAACATTAATGCATGTGAATTTTAATGGGCATAAGTCAAATTCTTAAATTTATATTTCAAATTCAATTAATAACATCTAGTTAATAAGATAACAAATTATTGAATGAGGAATATTAAGTTTCAGTTTGATCGAGAAAAAGGTTGGAGAATATATATTTAACTTAATTAAAATAATATATATATATATATATATATATATATATATTTAAATAAAAATATTAAGAAAAGTTATAACTTAGTAAAGACTTGTAATAACATAAATGAATGAGAAATGATTAGATAATTGTCAATGTTCAAGAATGAATTAATTAATTAATCAATAAAAAAAACCTTTATCTCATATTAGCAAGGTGATGTTAGACCTCGCGATCAAATGTTGATCATAACTAATCCATCTCAACAAAATTTAAATAAAAAAAAATTATCAATCAAAAATCACTAAAATATTTATATTCCAAAAATAATCATGCTCCATCAAAAGTTACAATAAAATATGATTCTCTAAAAAAACCATGCAAAATAATTACATTGAATTAAAAGGTAAAAATATAATATAATAAAATAAAATAAGACGCTTAAGGCCTAGGGAGTTATGACCTTAAAGGAATCATTGTAGCTTGATGAGGAAGAGGTAGTGTAACGGTGTAGAAAATCAACAGAGGAAGAAGTGATAACAAAGTTAACTCGATGAGTTAGAACATGATCAATTTCAAGTCTTATTTACATAAAAAGCAATGAACTCATTCATATAAATTGCATAAATGAAAGAGATGTTCCATTAAAAAAATATGTGCATTTGAGAAGCAATAACTTTCTCATGCAAAGAAAAATCGCGAATTTTATTGTGATTTCATTGTCAAATATCAAACATATACAGATAATTTTTCTGATTAATGAGATTATGTGAGAAGAAAAATGATAGTTTAATTACATAGTTATATGCAGGGACGGATGTACATGTATGATAGTAGGGGCACTTGCCCCCACTACAATTTTACTCATACATATCTTTTTTATCTTAAAAAATAATATATTTAAAAAAAATTATACTTTAATAAAATAAATAAATATATTTAAATTATTATATGTATAAAATATAAATTCAAAAAATATTCATTTATTTAATATTTATCAAACTTTCTAAAGAAGATTTTTGTATGTGATAAAAAAAATACTCTTTAATAAAAATTATTTTTAAAAACTTTTAGTCATAATACATGTATATATATTAGATTATAGGAT